GCCCTCTCCCACAGCCAGGAGCCTGGTTTAGGCCCTCCCTAACCACGCCCCTCTCTAGGCTCCTACTACTACTCCCCGCCTGAGGCTGTCCTAGCCACGCCCCTTCCCGGGTCTGGTCCATAGCCACACCCTCTCTGGGCCGGCCTCTACTTTGTCACGCCCCTCGCCTCTTTGCTGTATCCTGCAGTGACCTTGTCTCTGGCACAGGGGTTAATGTGCATCTTAGCCAATTTTCGCTGCAGGGCGTCACGGTTGTTTATGGAGTGGAGACACTCAGTTACGTTGAGCTTTCTGCTGCAACGATGTACAGTTTCATTATGCGGTTGTCTCTAAAAAAATGTTAATGACTCCTTTGTCCTTCGCAGACCTGTAAAAAGTCCTTGGCCACTGACTCTGGCTTTGATTTTATTAACTACCCGGGCCTCAAATTCCCTAGTGTTGCGTTTTAAGGAATTATTCACAGGGCATAGGGAACTATGCTTGCAGAGTCAATACACTTACAGCTAAACTTCCAGAGTTTTGCTTTTTGAGACAAAGTCTCACTATGTAACCCTAGCCTTGCTTCCAGAGTGATGGGATTAAAGTTATACACCACCACATAAGGCTACATTTGTTTTGTTTGTTTGTTTTCGATTAGAGCACTGATAAACATTAGAAGGTCCTAGTGTGGAAACATAAAACCTGGAGTATGAGTGTTAAATGGGACTACTGGGATAATTAAGAGATACTTGAAACAGGTGTTCAGTTCAGAACTTTTTGAAAGACTGTTGCACTTTACAGTTACTGGTCCTTTGTGTAAAATTGAAAAAAGTTTGTTTAATGAATGAGTAAAACACACAACACACTATGCTAGGAGGGAGAAAAAAAGAGATTGTTGTTGAATGAAAAAAAGAAATAGAGAAGAAAGACATGACTGCTCCTAGGTATGGTAGAGGAGGTTTATTATTGAAGATAAAAGGGAGAGCATAACCAGAGGCAGAGACTTCTGGGAGAGTCCAGACTGGACATGATCTTGAGCCTGGCCCAATGGGGGGGGGAGAGGGCGGTGTCAGTGGTGTAAAGGGTAGACCAAAGAGGGGCAGGTACCCCAAATGTCTGGATTATATAGGGAAGGGCATCTGGAGGAAGGGTAGCCCAGCCCCTGGGGTGGAGAGTTCAGGTAGCGGGGAGGTGTGTCAGTCAGAAGGACCCTGTAACAGGTAAGGACTGAGGGATTCTGGGAGAACCTGGCAGCCAGGTCCACTTGGGTATGTTAGATAGGCATTTCACTGTGTTTGTCTCAAGTTCCAGACGTAACAGTTGTGTTCTTGGAGTGATCAGTAATTAGCTAGTGTGGTTTCTTTGTTGTTATTGTTTTGTTTGTTGGCTTTGCTTCTGTTTTAGTTAAAGGCTGTCACCTGTACACATACTGATGCAGAATATGACTAGTACGGTGCTGAGCAGTGGGTTGTGTGAACAGATGGGAAGATGTACAGGTGACCTCACAAAGCAAAGAATTAAAAGTAAGGTACACGCCAGACACTTAAAAGGCTAGAATATCAATCTGTAGAATGACAGGCAATGGAAGGTAGGAGTATTCACCTACAGACTTTTGTGTTAAAGAATTTTACTCAATACCTATCTCTGAAAATGTAATCTAAGGAAATAATCCAAAAACATTTAAAAAGCCTGTCAGTTTAGATCATAAGAATTTTTATTTTTATCGGTCAAAACTATTGAACATTTGGTAATTTCATGTAGGCCAATTTAATTCACGAGCTAAGGAAAGGTTAGATGTGGTGGTGCAATCCTGTAATCCCAGAATTCCAGAGGCAGTGGCAGGAAGATCAAGAGTTCATCCTCATTCTTGGCTGCATAGCAAGTTCAAGGCTAGTGTAGAATACTCAAGATAGTTTCGTGTGTGTGTGTGTGTGTGTGTGTGTGTGGAGAGAGAGAGAGAGAGAGAGAGAGAGAGAGAGAGAGAGAATATGTGTCATGATTTGCGATTGAAAATATGGGCAAACAAATTTACCGTGTTAGAGACATAGTTACATGAAAGTGGCACAAACAAGTCTTTAAAATTGAGTCTTTGAAATTGACATAATTTTCAAACATTAAAGTCCACGGATTTTAAATGCTCAATAATTGTATTTGGCAATTGCACATATCACCCAAATAAGAGCTGGGGCATTTTCATTTCTCTCAAAGTGTCCTTTCTTGTTTCCCAAATCACCCAGCAACCCAGGGAGAGGCACCTGGGCTCTGATTTCAACCACTGCGTACAAGTTTCACTGGTTCTTGGACTTCAGTGGAACCCTGCAAAAAGTATTACTAGTGTCTAACTCCTACTTCATGTCTGACTTCAGTATAGTATCTGTGAGAGTCACCTATGCTGTGTCAGTAGCTACCTCATTATTAAATACTACCTCATTATATGACTAACATTGAGTATGTATGCACCTATTCTAGTCCTGACTGCCATTTGGTCTGTTTCCAGTTTGGGGTTACTATGAGTAAATCATTGTGTGAACATGTCTTAAACTGTCTTACGAAAATATCTAAAACTCAAATTGCTAAATCATATGATAATTGTAATTGAACTTTATAGATACCAATGAATTGTTCTTTCAAAGGGATCACATTCTTTTTCTCTCTTGCCATAGGATGGCATTTTCAGTTGTTTTACATGCTTGACATGCTTGAGTATTTTTGACCCCTTTTTTGAAATTGTAACCCTGACTGGTGGTGTTTTCAGTGTTTATGGATGTAATACAGGGCAATTACAAAATAAAGGGGTGAAAACAGGGAGACCAGAGACGGTCAGCATGGATTAAGACATTCTTTAAAAATCCTCAAAAATAAAGGAAATAATTAAAATAAATTGATTAATTCAATTAAAAAAGGCAAATACAAACTTAAAATGGACCACAAAAAAGTTAACGAAAAATGAACCTTGAATTAACAATATGTTGTCTTCAAGACACTTGTGTGAATTATAATGCATCTGGGTTAAAAACAAAGGGCAAGAAACGGGAGATGTATTTCGTCCTCTTCCTGGACAAATGCTGACAAAGAATACATAAAAGCCCTGGGTTTTCACTGAGTAAAATGTATCACAATGTTAAAAAACAGTAAATATGACAATAAGGAGCAGGATACATTGGTGGGGACATGAGGGTCAGAAAAGGCTTCTAAAATGCACATGTTTTTTACAGTATGTTAGTAAAAATGTTTTATATATTTGTGTCTATTCTATAAATTAATTTTCTTTCCTTTATTTCAGCAAAATCGCCATGTTGTATTATGGAAAATTTTGTAAGACCCCCGGAAGCTCAGGCCTCCAGGATCTCAGCCCAGGACTGTGGTCACCCCAATCACCAGGCTGAGTCGAAAGCTTGATGCAAACAGCATGAGCCTTTATTATAGTTGTTTAACGAGCTAACCCCATGTTAGCTTGGGTCTTTCATCCACCCACCATGGCGGATGGCTAGGAAAGACAGCTCGAAGCGTCTGCATAGAGATCTTATAGGGCAGAGTAAGGGGAGTGTCTAAGGGTACACACAGGCTCAGGATTGGTGTGGCTCCAGGCTTGGAGGGCTTGCCCTGTGTTGATTGGTCAACTGGTTGTTATGGCCCATAGGCCCTCCCAGGGTGGTTGCTATGCCCTCCACGTCATTGCTGTGCACATGTCCGTAAAGCACACCCAGAGCCGTAAAGCATAGCACCACTAGCTAACTTCTGATTGGTTCCTTGCCACGAGGCAGGCATCTAACCTCCTAGTGACTAAGACAAGACCAGACAAGCATGTGTTTGGCTGTTATGGCTGCCGAAATGGGAAGCTGGTCCCTTCAATTTCATATAATTTGTTGTCTTTGACTAGAGGATACTTAAAAGACTATGGCATAGAAATTGATCAAAATGCTGGGAATAGTGTCACACCCTTTTAATCCCAGTACTTGGGAGGCAGAGGTAGAGGCAGAGGCAGACAGATCTCTGTGAGGCCAACCTGGTCTATGAAGTTACTTCCAGGACAGCCAGGGCTGTTACACAAAGAAACCCTGTCTTGGGTGGGTGGGACAGGGGGAGAAAAATGAACAAAATTTGAAATATCTATGTGGTGATATCTTATTTGTACAAATAAAGCATGTCTGAAGATCAAAGGGCAGAGCTTGCCACTAGCTAACCATAGAGGTCTGGAGGTCTGTACAGACAGACAGGAAGTGAGATAGCTGGGCAGAGAAAGGAATATAGGTGGGAGGAGACAGGACCTTGCTCTCTTGTCTGCTGGGAAGCTGGTGAAGTAAAGGTGGCTGTGTGATGGGGAAAGTACTTTTGTGTATGTTTATCTTATTGATTGTTAAATAAAATACTGTTTGGCCAATGAGACAGCAAGTTAGATGGGACTAGGAGTCAAAGAGGATTCTGGGAAATGTAGTAGAGAAGTGGTGATCCAGGCAGGAAGTGACATAGTAAGGAGACTCATATTTAAGCGAAGGAGAAACAGGAAGGGTCTCTTTTCCCCTCTGCTCCTGCTCCAGCCACACAATGTGATCCACCGGCAAGGAGAGACTCCAATAAGGCGTCCGATAAGATAAGTCTTATAAAATTTATAGGTTTATGATAGTTAAGACTGAACTAACAGATGAGAATCCTAGTCATTGGCCAAGCAGCATTGAACCTAATACAAGTTTCTGTGTATTCACTTGGGCCCTAACTCAGGCGGGCGGATGGCGTAAAGCTCACACGTGGCAGTGGGGCTCAGGCGGCTTTTGGCGGAAAGATTTATCGTAACAGCCGTGACTTTCTCCTTCTTCTCTCTGATCTCTCAGTATTTTCCTCTAAATCTGACTCCAGGCTTTTATTATTAAGACCAATGAGAACTGCTGTTACAGATCTACATCAAAAGCATCAAGTAAGTGTGAAAATGCTTACATTTAAATTGCTTTAATGACTTACATATATTTCTATTAGAAATCTGAAAATTTTTGTCAAAAGGCCAAATTATTGCAACGATCAAAATGATCCCAAGTTGATACTTCTATTTGACATTTCAAAAATGTTGTGCAATCATAGTGAATGCTTCTATATTGAAATGCTATCTGTCGTTTCGGTGTTCAGTGCCCACTGTCTATCTAGTCACTACGATAAAGAATTGGGATCATGATTTACATGTGCCATGTCTCACTAAACACCGAGAGATGTGGCTGAGATGTCATGTGTCACACCTGTAAATAAAACTCTAGACTAACCAATTAGACATAAAGATAAGTGAGAAAAGGATGCCGGGCGGTCCAGGAATCAATACATATTTTAAAAGATTTTATTTATTTATTATGTATACAACATTCTACTTCCATGTGTATCTGTACACCAGAAGAGGGCACCAGATCTCATAATGGATGGTAGTGAGCCACTATGTGGTTCATGGGAATTGAACTCAGGACCTCTGGAAGAGCATCCGGTGTTCTTAACCTCTGAGCCATCTCTCCAGACCAGAAATCAATACTTTGTTAGGCAAGAATGTATTGCTTTGTTAAGCGGTCTATTGATTGTCATCATTACTAAGTTTATTATCTTGCTGTGCTTATTATTTTTATTATTTAATTTTTATTATTATTTACTATTCATGGGTGCTTTGTCTTCATGTATGTCTGTGTACCATGCAAATGCCTGGTGCCTGTGGAGGCCCAAAAAAGACATCGGGTTCTCTGGAACTGTAGTTACAGTTGTTTGTGAGCTATTATGTGTGTCCTGGGAACCGAATTTGAGTCTTCTGCAGTAGCTCTTAACCTCTGAGACATCTGTCCAACACAGTTGCTCTACCCTTGAAATACCCTTACAGACACATCCAAAGGTGTAGCTCTTAAGTCATTGGTTCTCAACACGTGGGTCACCATCCACAAGGTGGGGGTTGGGCTCCACCGACCATTTTGCAGGGGTCGAATATCAGCTATTATGCGTGTCAGATATTTATGTTATGATTCATTATAGTAGTGACATGACAGCTATGAAGCAGCAACGAAAATAATTTTTTTTCTTTTTTGGTTTTTTGAGGCAGGGTTTCTCTGTGGTTTTGGAGGCTAGAACGAGCTCTTGTAGACCAGGCTGGCCTCGAACTCACAGAGATCCACCTGCCTCTGCCTCCCGAGTGCTGGGATTACAGGCGTGCGCCACCACCGCTCTGCTCATAAGGAAAATAATGATCTGGTTGGGGGTCAGCACAACAAGAGGAACTGTATTAAAGAGTGGCAGGGTTAGGAAGGTTGAGAAGCATTGTCCTAGGTGGTTCTAAATCCAGTCCAGTTGACAATGGAAATTAAAAAACCATACAGTACACTTGCAGTTTTTAACTTAAATAATTTTCCAAGTGCGGTTGCTTGACTTCTTCTGTGTGGAACCTGGTGAGTCAGAAGGCCGACATGACAGCATTTTGGAAAAACAGTTAATTTGCAAGCCGCTGGAAACTGCAGTTTTCATCTGGAGACTTGTGTTCCTTTCTGCCACTGGCCACTCCATGTGGATTTCTGAGATGCTTCTCAGATTTTTTATTTTTTCTCCAAAACATTACTTGCACGGGGTGTTTCAGTCACCAGATGCTTTTCAAGTTTGCGAGGATAATTATAGCAAAAACAAAAAGGTCACTCTCCCTGCAATCCTATAAATCTCCACTAGGGGGAGCTTTCCCCACTCTTCCTGATGCCAAGTCTCCTGTTTTCTGTGAGCGCCCCTCAAGTTCCTTCTCACAGAACCAGCTGATGATCCCAAAATTTCTCAAGAATTCATTTTGCTTAAGCATTTTCCGTGTTTCCCCGCTTAAGCTATTTTGAACTTAAAAGACAGACACTTAATGTTTCCAGAGGGGCACGCCTGCTCAGGTTTCCGCAAGAGGGAAAGATAAACTTGTTGAAGATTGAGAAAACCATTTCATCTGGTTTTGCCTGTTCTGTTTGTGGGCAGGTGCAGGAAGCCTCATTATCAAGCGGAGTCCTGTTGTGTTCACAGTTCTCGGGTAACAGGAAGGCTTTAGCTTGTGGGAAATGCCTACCTTCCAAAAGTTAAGATGAAATGGCAGGTGTTATTTGCAGAGCGCACAGTGGTTGAGAGCTCAGCACCGCACCGGCCCCACTGTGTCTTCCCACACTGCGTCCTTCTGCTCTTGAACTCTGTCAGAGTGACGCCAGCTATATCTTAGAGGACACTGACAGTGAGACCGTGAACCATCACTCCTGCAGCATATACTCAACGAACGAAGCTTGCTCGGTTATTCATGCTGCCTAGGAATTCAAAGAGCCTGAGGAGAGAACTATACCTCTACAGGGTGATATAGCCTTCAGAAATGCCTTTGTGTGCATATGTGTTGGTGCGGGGCACATTATGTGTTGGTAACTTGCGTGTGTGTGTGTGTGTGTGTGTGTGTGTGTGTGTGTGTGTCTGAGTGTGAAACTATTTGTCTGTTGTTTGAGACAGGGTCTCTCATTGACTTGCAACTTCACCAAGTGGGCTACACTCCTTAGTCAGCTCCAGGGATCAACCTGCTTACCTCTCACCATTGACAGGGTTATACACCACTGTACCTAGCATGAGTTCTGGGGCTTGAACTTAGGTCCTCATGTTTGCAAGGCAAGAGTTTTACTGACAGCCATCTCCCCAGCTCCTAGAATTTTCTTTCAGGAGCTTCAGTTGAAATAACAGTGAACTTGAGCTGTATTAGCTTAAATAAGCCAGAATTTATTTACTCTCTCAAAGCGTGGTTGGACACTGCCAATCCAGGCCCAATTCAGTGCTCAACAATGTCCTGAAAAGACTCCAGCTCCTGCCCTTCTCATGTGTTTTGCTTAGTGTACACTTTTATTTTAAAAAACATTCTATTTTTAATGTGTGTGCACGCATGCACGCACGTCAGTGCCTGATGAGGCCAGATGTGTTGGATCAACAGCTGGAGTTACATTCTCCAGCCACCTGACATGTGTGCTGGGAACAGAACTCAGGCTCTCTGGAGGAGCAACAAGCCCACTGTACTGCTGGCCCCTCTCTACAGCTTTTCAATTTCAGGCTGTAGAATTCATGGTCACAGGATGGCTGCTCTACCACCAAGTTTCACAACCACATTCCAGACTGGGAGAAAAGAGAAGGTCAAAATGGCCAGAAGCCTTTTGCAACTAAGGATTTGCTTTTCCTTTTGGAGAAGGAGGCCTCCCCAGGGCCCTCTGCTTGAATCTCACCAGTTAGAAATGTCACATGGTCACTGTTAGATGCAGAGCAAGCTGAAAGCAAGGCAATTAGTTTTCTGTCTCAGAAGAAAAGACTCCAAGGGAAAGGAAGGGAAACAGATATTGACAAACCCTTATGCTCTGTCACAAAGAGTGGGTACAATTTAGGGTGCAGACAATGCCAGCTTTATAGGAGGTTTGCCTCCCTTTCTTATTCCAGGAGCCTGGGCAACCAGAGTTCTAGATCCAGAAACATGAATGGGTGGGAAAGGGAAAGGCAGGCTGCCCCTTTCTACTGCTATTTTGTTTGTTTTGGAGGCAAAGTCTAGCTATATAAACCAGGCTGATCTCAAAGTTGCAATCCTCCTGTCTCAGCTTCCCAAGTGCTGGGATTTCAGGCATCTACCACTCTATTCACTAAGACTTACTGAATGAGCTTGAAATAGTAACTCAAGTCATTAATCCCAGCACTCACTCCAGAGGCCAAGGAAGGTGGATTTCTATGAGTTCAAGGGCAGCCTGCTCCACAAAGTGAGTTCCAGGACAGTCTGAACAGAGTGAAATCCTATTCCAAAAACAAAACAAAACAACACAATACAACCTACTTACTGAATGATTGTTAAGCAAATGAGAACTCACAGCTGAATAGTGGAGATGCAACAACCTCTGTGTTCAAAGGTGGGGAGGAATGTGTGCTTGTCACACTGTGTTATTTGACATCTATTGAAGCTTTGTCTCAGATACTTTTCCAATTGCTGTGACCAAATATCCAAAAAGAAGGGACTGGAGTGGTTTGTTTTGGCTTGCAGCTTGAGAGGAGACATGAGACCACATCTTTACAAACAAAACATTTCTGAGGAGGAGCAAGGCCAGCTTTGAGGAAAGTGGGTGGGTTTGGGCTTGGCTCATCTGGACTCATTCTGAGGCGCTTGAAGAACTTTTGTACACCATGGGTGTAGGAGGCATCCTACAGCTCCAAGCCAGCATTGCAACTGTAAGACCCCTGGAAAGCTCAGGCTTCCAGGATCTTAGCCCAGGACTGAAGCCACCCCAATCACCAGGCTGAGTTGAAAGCTTGATGCAAACTGCATGAGGCTTTATTGTTGTTTAACGAGCTAACCCTATGTTATCTCGGGTCTTTCACCCACCCGCCATGGCAGATAGCTAGCAAAGATAGTTCGAAGCGTCTGCATAGAGATCTTGTAGGGCAGAGTAAGGGGAGTGTCTAGGGGTACGCACAGGCTCAGGATTGGTGTGCCTCCAGGCTTGGAGGGCTTGCCCTGTGTTGATTGGCCAACTGGTTGTTATGGCCCATAGGCCCTCGCGGGGTGGTTGCTATGCTCTGCACATCATTGCTGTGCACTTGTCCGTAAAGCACACCCAGAGCCGTAAAGCATACCACCACCAGCTAACTTCTGATTGGTTCCTTGCAGGAGGCACGCATCTGACCTTAGTGACTAAGGTCAGATAATCATGTGTTCAGCTGTTATGGCTGCCGAAATGGGGAGCTGGTCCCTTCACAACCTGGAGTGCTAGGGACAGAGCTTAGTGGCTAGACCATTTGCTTAGCCTGTGTGAGGTCCCAGGTTCAATGTCCAGTACCACAAAAAAAAAAAAAAAAAATTAAAAGAAGTGTTGTCTGGGCAGGAGATGCAGGTGTTTCATCTGCAAATACATAATGTCTGCAGGTTCCAAAAAGATG